ATTTCAAAAATTTATGTATGTATGCATGTATGTATGTATGTATATATGTGTGTGTGTGTGTGTGTGTGTGTGTATGTATGTATGTATGTATGTTTGTGTGTGTGTGTGTATGTATGTATGTATGTATGTATGTATGTATGTATGTATGTATGTATGTATGTATGTATTTATGTATGTATGTATGTATGTATGTATGTATGTATGTATGTATGTATGTATGTATGTATGTATGTATGTATGTATGTATGTATGTATGTATGTATGTATGTATGTATGTATGTATTTGTGTATCGATTTTGAATTGATTATAACTGGCATGTGATTTTGTTGGAAGTTCCATAAAAAACACTATCACAGTAGTCTAGCCTAGAACGAACAAACGCATGACATTTCGATGTATCCTCATAAAGCGAATTTCTGATCTGTCTGAGCCTTCGTAGTTGAAATGAACATTCCTTGTTCAGCTCTTTGACATGACGATCCAAAGACACATTTCGATCGAACGTGATTCACAGATTATTGACAGACGAACAAAACTGGATAACTGATGCAGATATGTCAATAGAGTTGACACGAATCATTTGCGATTGTTGTCAAGTTCCGTCAAGTCTGTTGTTTATCATCCATTTATTTAAATCTTCAACACAGCAGACCAATCTGTGAACTAAATTACCAAATTTCGTTGTTTTTACAATAAATGGGTGCTCGGACTTGAACATCCTCAACAAAAGCGTGGTATTTAAATTCGATGAATTGAACATATCAGCTGTGTAGAGCAAAAACAACAGAGGTCCTAAAACGGAGCCTTGAGGGACTCCAGATGAAACCACCTCGACTTCAGACAATGTACCCGTTGTGTCCTACCAAGCAGATGCCATTCAAGCCACGTCGCAACCTCTCCAGAAACACGAAAACGACATTTCAATTTTCCAGTCAGCAACAACTGATGGACGCGGTCAAAGGCTGCCCTCGTATCCAGTGGCGCCAACAGTGAGGTATCTTGAGCATCGATAGATGCAGATAGTTTAGATGCCACGTGAATCGGAGCAGTCTGTCTTTTTCCTGTATTCAGTAAGCTAAACATCCTGTCAATCTGGCAAATTAATGTTTTCCGTTCGGCCGTCTTTGTTTATAAATTTTTTCACAACATGTCGCCAAAATTTTTTGACGAATGGAATGCGCTGTGAAATGTCAGCAGACGACGAGACATACCTTCCATGTGGAACGGACGAGACTGAAGTTGATTCAGTCCAGTCTGTCACATGCTGGCCCAAAAGTGTGAGACAGAACTCTGCCGCACTACATCAAAGAAATCGACAACTTATACAAATTTGAAAAAAAACATTAAAAATATTCTTAACAAGCAGGGAACCTACTTAGTTTTGTCGCTGTAACTTAAAACAGAACCATTTATCATCTTGAGGAGTATTTGTTTGGTATAGATTTTTTTTTATATATTTGAGTTGGACTGCATATTGGCGTTGAACCTTTCATTCTTATGTTGCAGAACATTAACATTGAGCAATTTATTTCTAAATTTTGCCCTTGCTTTTACGGCCAGCATAAGATCGTTATATCTTACTTGGTCACCGAATCAGAGAAAAAATGTTATTTTTTCTTTTGCTAATATAAATGATTCAACGAAAAAAATATGTATGTATTATTATTTAGATGATAATTTAGGATATGAGGTTTAAGTAAATATAGGTTATATATAGATATGTGTTAAAGTTGGTATGTAATTATAATGATAGTTAAGTTATAATTTACAGACGTGTAACAGCTTTAATATAAGATAATATAACGTATAATTTATCAGAGCATATAATACTCTGCATAATAAGACTGAGGTGACATACTATAGAGACTTCTCTTTACACGTATCTTTATATGTATGTAATTAAATAAAATAATAACATATTATAAGTAAATAAATTAAACACGGAAGAATAATAAAGAAAGACGAAATGAAATAACAAATTAAATAAAAAAACAATTAGTTGAAATAAAATAACAAATTAAAATATGAAAAAATATTATGGAGTTTTATTTTGGCGCAAAAATTTTGGCGGCATATTTTTTCCCGCGCAATCCGTTTTAATACTCGCATCAAATGAAGGAAACAATGAACTGGACAGTTTCATATTCTCTGTGGAGTGAAGGGGGAAGCAGGAGAAGAAAGTAGGAAAGAGAGAGAGAGAGAGGAAGAGAGAGTGAGGATGAAAAAGAGAGAGAGAAAGAGGAAGAGAAAGAGTAATATAAAGAGATTGAGAGTGAGAAAGTGAGTGTGTGAAAAAGAAAGAGGGAATAAAAAGAGTAAGGTGAAATTAAGTGCGAAAGGGAAAGAGGCAAAAAATTGGTGGGGAGAGAACAGGAGAAAGAAGAGAGAGAAAGAGAGTGAAGATGCGGGAGAGAATGAAAGAAAGATAAAAAATTGGGAAGTGAGTGAAAGAAAAATAGAAAAGGGAGAGAGATAAAAAAGGAGCAAGAGGAAAAAGAGAAAGGCAAAAAGATGGAAAACAAAGGTGGAAAATGAAAAAAATGAAAAATCCTAAATATTGAATGAGAGATTATGAAGAACCAAATAAAAATTACAAAATCGCGGAGAAAAAACTAAAAAAAATGAAAGAGTGAAAGAAATGGAAGAGGGCAGAAGTAAGACGAGAAGAACAAAAGCGGAAATAAATAAAAAATGTTTAATAACGAAGATAAAAATAAAAAAAGGAAAGAAAGAGAAAAACGGAATGAAAAAAATAGAAAAAATAGAAAACGAAAAGCAAAAAAAAATGAAAATCAGAAAAAAATGAGAATGAATGAAATAAAATTAGATAAAACCCAACAGAGAGAAAGAAAAAAAAAGAGAAAGGGAGAGAAAGAGTAAGAGAGAGAAGAAGAGAGGAAGGGAGAGAAAGATGAAATAATAAAAAAAATGTGAATACTTTAAAAAACAGATTTAAAAAGAGGAAAAATGACAAATCAGAAGTGAAACATTAAGTCAAAAAAAATGAGAGAAAATTATGAGAAAATTTTGTTTTTGTGTTATTGTTCCAATATATTGTTGTTTTAATGTGTTGTTGTTCTAACATGTTGTTGCGTTGTTGTGTTGTTGTTTTAACCATGTTGTTGTGTTGTTGTTCTAACATGCTGTTGTGTTGT